TTAGGCAAGCAAATTGTCTCCTAAAAATATATTTGTTGTGACTGAAACAACAAAGGCCAAATGTTGGTCATGGGTTCTAGGAGGGGATATGGCAGTGGAATCTTTAAGACGATCAATCTCTGCCTCCTTTTTTTGCTGTTTTATCATCATTTACCATTTTATAATCTTGTCCTGATGTCCTGAAGACTCCTGAGATCATGATGGATAGTTTTAATAGTCATTTTCTAAGAAATTCATGCAAATCATATGGAACATCCACATAAAAACAAATTTCCTCCATGCATACATAAAATAGGCAACTGAAGTAATGCCAAGATCTATCTTTAACTTGACAACATTACCATTATAAATACTAAATTTATCAGATTGAAAGTACTTTGAAGATACGGGTTCTGTATAACTCATATGTGTTTCTTATAATGCAGTTTATCATTTCCTGCAACCAAGGGAGCCTGGCCTGTATTTGCTGAACTTAACCAAAGAATTCAATTGTGAAAATAATTACCTTGCCCTTGCTGTGTCGTCATTTGGAGGCACAAATATCATAGATGAAGAGATTTGCTTCAAAGTACTAAAAAGAAATGATCAGGCTTGTTTCTTGCTACCTTTAACTTCAGAGGATTGATACATTACTGTTCACCAATTCATGGCACATTATCCACAGTGATGGACCTCTGTCACTTTACTTGCTTATTTATTTTTTATCTCTATTCCACACTTCCAAAGGCAAACACTGTACTATTTCTAATGTAAACTATGTACTTGCTATTATAAAACATGCATTATTGTTTTACCTGTATGTACATATAAAAGGTAGTTACATATCTCATTATACTTTTTTATTAGTTGGGATATAATATATATCATATCATTCCATATTTCAATCACGTCAAGTAGAATTGTATAATTGCCACCACAACTCAGTTTCCAAACAGTCTTTTTCATGGACTCCTTGACATCGTCTCCCTTTTACACACACCCCCATGGTACCCCCACTGCCCCAGAAACCCTTATTCTACTTGTTGTCCCTATAGGTTCATCAATCCTGGGTTTCATATTGGAAAATGGAAAAACATAAAACACAGCTTCAAGAGGGTGACCTCCATTGATATAACATCTCTGAGACACACTCTAATACGAACAAAGAAAAACTGAAGAAAACAATACAAACCAAAAATACAGAAAATTTTGGAAACCAGATCAGGTCCAGCCCTCATCACATGGGGGGGAATCTACTGACAAAGTTTTTCATGGTTCAGGTCAGATTTATGCCTTTGATCTTCTGCATTCTTCTCTCCCAAGCATTCTGTTTAGTGACCACTCCCCCCACCCCCCATCCCTCAATTTTAGATAGGGGCCTATTTCCTATAGTTCCTCCTCTGGAGGCTTATTGCCTGAGTAGTTCCATAACTGAGTCTTGGGCTCCCATTGTCATCCATCACCTTCTGCACACCGGATTCTCACAATTTAGGCTCTTGTAATGATTATATGGATTTCAATCCATCAGTGATAATGATGGCGTGCTTCTTCCATGTGGACTTAGTTGACATCTCACTTAGATGGCTACTTGTTTGGAGACAAGCCTTTAAGACCCGAGACACTATTTTATCTGATAGCCAGGCACCATTTAATTTATTTGCCACATTTTTTTATATAGCACCCATATCTTCTGTGTTCCCTTCCTTAGGGCAAGTATCAAGCAGGGCCATGATGTAAGAACTAACTGTTCTTACATTGGAGCTAGGATTTAGTGGGAGCCCAAAACTGATTCCTGAATCAATGCTCTTTTTCTTTTCTATTTCTTTCTTTCTTTCTTTTATTCAATTTGTGGCAACTTGGGAGTAAATACATATATCATATCATTCCACAGTTCAATCACATCAAACAGAATTGTACAATTGCTTCCATAATCAGTGTCCAAACATCTCCACTATACTTCCTTTTCTTCCCTGGCCCACATTGCAGTGTACACATCTAGTCTACCGTTGCACCACTTTTGCCTGCTCAGTTCCTTAATAATTCACATCCAAATTACCTCCACATCTTTTCAGGGCAACCTCATCTGACTGTACAAGTATTAAATGATCCTGTCTCTAACGTCTGCCAACTTCTTCTATCTAAATAATGTTAACACTTGGATATACCGCTGTGATTATATTGGTTGTTAAACTTCTGAAATATTTACAATTTGGAAAGTAGGATGGGACTTCAACTAGTTAATGAGAAATTTGAATAAATAGGTAATGAAATGTCTAGACTTTGCCGCAAGTACCTTGAGCTTTCCATCCATCACCCAAACTCCTGTGAATTAGCTACTAAAAGGCTAACACCTGAAATAGAGTTCTCCATGAACCTACATCAGCTCCATGGCCACCATCTGTTCTGATAGGTTGATGTCTATACAGTGCAGTTTCATATTTTGAAGCAAACCTACCCTGTACTAAAAGCAATACTGCAATGCATATTCTCACACAGGTCCCCTGAAAACCACCATACGCTGCACCAAGTACTGTCATGCTACACTCTAAGAAAGCTGCAATCCATCCTGCTGCAAACAATTCCTGTATCCTCGGGTCTTTGCTAACTCGCAGCAACGTCTAGCTTTCTAATCTTCCAACTCTAATAGCTATAAGCAATATCGCCTTTTGTTTTAACCTTTATTTGTTTAGCAGCTAATAAAACTGACATCTTTTCACATACCTATTCATCTTTGCATTTTCTGTCTTGTAGATCCCTTGTTAATTATTCTTACTCATTTCCCATTTCCCTTTCTCCTATTAACTTTTATATTCTGAATTATGTGCCAGTTTTTCCCTAGAAATACCTTCACTCAATCTGTTTGTTTGCTTGCTTGCTTCATTGATTGTTTTCCTGGTCCTGAAAACTTTTCATTTAAGAAGCTCTTCCATCACAAGGATATCTTCCTTTGTTTTCTATTTACTTTATTGTTTCACACTTACACCTTTAATCATTCTATGATTTGCCTACACACGTGACATTACTTTGTGTGTGTCTGCTCAATGAGCTGTTCTCAATGTCACAATTCTTTTCTCACTGATTAGTCATTTTTCTTTTATCGTATATTGAACCCCCTTTATATATGAATCTGATCTGCACTCTTTTATTTGCTCCTAATTTAAATTTCTACCTCTAAATGTGTGTACCTATAAACCATTGTTTTCTTACCATGGCTTTCAGATTATCTTAATATCTGATGAGATTCACACTCCCTCACTGCCACAAAATGGATGAACCTGGAAACCATTAAGTGAAATAAATCAGAAACAAATGTTACATGATCCCATTTCAACAAATAGCTAGACTAGATGAACATCCAGAGGCAGAAAGTGGATCGGCTTGAGGTGTGGGAGGGAGTTCAACGCTGTCCTAGAGGGTCGCTGTGAGTTTGAAGCAACAGAATGGTAACAGGCGTGGTTTTCGTGTTTTAAAAACACGCTAGTCGTGCAAAGTGCGGCCTGCTCTGCCACACTGACTTATCGAGTATATCCTCTGTTTACAATTTGAGAAATAAAATCCTTGAAAATCAGCTTTCATATGAAATTTTACTACTGTTTGGAGAACAAAATCATTTCTTAAGTTAAGGAAAATATTTATAAAGATTAAAATGTAATATAATAAGTGTAATTACAAAAATGAAGAAAAATCTGATACCATTGAGTCAATTCCAATCTATAGGATGGGTAAAACTGCCCCATAGGGATTCTAAGGCTGTAAATCTTTACAGAAACAGGCTACCATGCGCAGAGGAGCTGATGGGTTAAAACTGCCAACCTTTCAGTCAAACTCTATAACCTCTGTGCCACAAAGATTCCTTATCAAATAAAATCATGTATGGAAAACACCCAGGATATATCTAAAATTGAAAAAGCAAAAATCAAACCAGCAGAGCATCTGAAACACGGATGCTATCTTAGTTACCTTAGTTATCAAGTGCTATGATAACAGAAACGCCAAAAGTGGCTGGCTTTAATAAGCACAAATATACTCTCTCACAGTTGAGGACGTGAAAAGTCTGAATTGAGGGGGTCAGCCCTTGGGGTAAGGTTTCTCTTTGTGTTGTTTCTGAGGGAGGGTTCTTTGCTCCTTTCTTATCTGTGGGCCCACCCTTCCTTAGCGATCTCCATATGGCTTGATATGGAGATTCCTATTTATTATAATAGGAGGTTCTATTTATTACACTAGTACAGATATACAGCAACATGGTAGAAGCCAGCATGAAACGTAATACACAAAATTAATAGGGATTTAAATATTTCACAATTATTTTTTTCATATTGAGTGTAGACTAGTTTTTTTTTTAATCTTTAATTCCTGGAACTCACAAGCTAATAGGAAAAATGTCTTCATTGCTGCCTTCTTGTTGTTCACACATGTGTAGATGTCTAGATAGGCAAAGAGTGAGAACTGCAAAATTATAGCAAAAAGCTTGTCCATGAATGATGAGAAGAAGCCCAAAGAATAAAACCACCATAGTGACAAGAGCCAAGGGCCTTGGATAAACCACTCGAGTGTTTCCGAACAGTGACCAGAATGATGCAAGAATAAATGAAATGATCAGTATAAAGAAGGAACCAACGAAGGGAAGCCCACTGCTGGCTGCAACCATGAATTCAACTCTACTGGTCTCTGTGCAAGCAAGATTAATGTGCAGGTCACAGTAAAAGCTATGTAATACAGTAAGGCCACAGAAGGGTAAGTCTACCAAACAGCCTATTTGACCACTGAGTAGTTGAAGCCAATAATCCTGGCAGTAGTCAATATCAAAATGCATATTGTGGGCTTCTGTTGTTCAGGTGGTGGAGAGACTTGATCAACGGTCATAAGTTTGAGAAACACTGTCTGTGGCTCAGTACCCTGGATAAAGAAGATCTGAGCTATACAATCCTGAAAGAAGATTGCTTTCTTCTCTTACAAGATCATCAGTTATTTTTAGAACTGAAATAGAGCAGACAATCAGATCAAGAAGGCTTTATTTATGTTTAAGAAAGTTGACTATAATTCACAAACTGAGTGCATAGTCTCTTCATTGCAACCTTCATCTCTTTATTCCTAAAAGTATAAATGACCGGATTTAGAAAGGGAGTGATTACTGCATCGAAGAGGGCAAGGAACTTATCCAACTGTGAAGTAGGAAATGGCCACAAATAGAAAAAGATCAGTGGCCCAAAAAATAAAACCACCACAGTGACATGAGCTGACAGAGTAGAGAGGGCCTTGGCTATACCACCTGAAGATTTTTTCTGTACAGTCACCAAAATAAAGATGTAAGAGATCATCAGAATTAAAAAAGAAAACACAGAAATAAATCCACTATTGGCAGTAACCATGAATCCCAATGTGTAAGTCTCCAGGCAAGCTAGTTGGATCAATCGAGGAAGGTCACAAAAAAAGCTATCCAATTCATTAGGGCCGCAGAAAGGTAAGTCTACAACAAAAGCCAACTGAGTCACTGAATGAATAAGGCCAATAATCCAGGATACAAATAAAAATGAAATGCACCTACGTGGACTCATGATGGTCAGGTAGTGGAGGGGCTTACATATGGCCACGTATCGGTCAAAGGCCATGGCGGTGAGCAGCACCATTTCCGTGCCTCCAACTGCATGGATAAAAAATATCTGAACTAGACAGCCTCCAAAAGAGATGGTTTCGTGTTCTCTGAAAAGGTCATAAATCATCTTAGGAGCTGTGATTGAACAAAATATCAAGTCCATGATGGAGAGGTTGGCCAGCAGAAAGTACATGGGAGATTGCAAATGAGAGTCCGAGGCCACCGTGAGCACAATGAGGAGGTTTCCCATCAGGCTTGCCACGTACAACGTGGAGAAGAAGAGGAAAAGGAGGAGCTGGATCTCCCAGGAACTGGAGAGTCCCAGAAGCACAAACTCAGACACCACAGAATGGTTCAATCCATCCATTGCCTCGGTTTGTAGTAATGGCTCTCATGCTACCTGAAATCAAAAAACAAGGACAAACTCGGATTTCAGGGAATTGGCATTGAGTTTGGCAAACTGCCTGGCAATTTGACAGTTGTCAGAAAACTAGGCAAAAGTTTTGTTTTGTTTTGTTTTGTTTTGTTTTGTTTTGTTTTGTTGGGGGGGGGTTGTCTGTAAGATAGCGTTCATCACAAAGCAATGCATATCCCCCTGTTTTATATTCTATGCCCAAACTACATTGTACAGAATCTATTTAAGATCTTTTTACTTCTTTGGATGAACAGTTCTGTTATATATTGTCATTAATTCATAGTAATAGCTCATATTTCTGTAAGTTTAAAGATTTTTTTATAAATCATTTAACTATATTAAATACTTAAGTGACAGCAGATTTTATAACTTGATCATCCTTCAATATAACCATATCATTTCTATAATCGTTAACTAGCAGGTCTCTCAATATCTTTATATCCATTTTTAAGACTTAGAAAGGTAAATATCTCATATAGGTATAGGAGTAGACATGATGAGTTATTTTTAAAAGTAGGAAAGATAAGAATATTAACCCATAGAGGGAAGATAGATTCTAAAAAAGTGACTGAATAAGAAATTCCACGTGCAAACTCAGGAGGACATAGGGTCACAAGTAAAAGAGGCCACCAAAATTAAAATGATGAGTCATAAAGCCTGATTACAAGAGAGAGAGCACATACCTTACAAATAGGCGTGTTGGTGTACACTGGTCCAGACAGGAACTGGAAACACAGGGAATCTAGGCAGATGACCCCTTCAGGACCAGTGGTGTGAGTGTCGATACTGGGAGGGTAGAGGGAGAGTGGGTTGGAAAGGGGGAACTGATTACAAGGATCTACATGTGACCTCCTCCCTGGAGGACAGACAACAGAAAAGTGAAGGGAGACATCAGACAGGGCAAGATAAGACAAAATAAAAATTTATAAGTTATCAAGGGTTCATGAGAGAGGGGGGAAAAGAGAGGAAGGGGAAAAAATGAGGCGCTGATGCCAGAGGCTTAAGTGGAGAGCAAATGGTTTGAGAATGATGAGGGCAATGAATGTACAAATGTGCTTTACAGAATTGATGTATGTGTGGATTGTGATAAGAGTTGTATGAGCCCCTAATAAAATGATTAAAAAATAAACAAATAGGCCTGTTTACTTATTTATAAAAGTGCTTAACTGCCAAGGCCCCAGAACCAGAAGAACTGGAGGGTGTCACAATAGAGGGTTCTGGACAGAGTGGGAGAAAAGTATGAAGCCAAACTCACAGTCATAAAAGAAAGGTTAGGATTGCTGGTTAGAAACTGGTGGAGGCCCTAGAGTCTAGGGCCTAGACTATGACCCTGAGTCACCCTTCCCGTCTGGAAAATGCACCGCGATGGCACAAACTTCAGTCAAACTATAGACAGGACTATAGGAAAACTAACACTGGAGAGGTATGCACACTTTCAAATAATCAACTGTTATGATCAAAGGGGCAGCATTTTCACAAGGACAAAATTTCGGAAAGGAGAAATGGGAAACACGGAGAGGGAATGGGATACACGATGTTGCGTTGTGGGAATTGCAATCAATGACAGAGAACAAAATGGCTATGAATTATTGAATTCAAAACTCATCTCCATGCAAGTCACAAAAAGAGGGTTTTTTAACTCTATATTGATACCTACACACACACACACACACACAAATTAATTACAAATAACTATAGCTATTTCTAATAAGTGGGTGTTCAGAGAGTTGTGAGGGAGAAGACAACTTTTACTTTTCACTCTCTGTTCTTATCTACTATTTGAAATTTTTACAATGAGCATATATCAACTTCACTTTTACTAAGAGGTATAATATATATTATGGCCTTGGAAAGCTACACAAATTGTGTCATCAGATATTCATAGCTTCCAAAGTTATAATCAGCATCTATTTCATAAGTTAGAGCAAAGATCAAAGCTATTCCCGAGATGTCTACACACTTTGCTACTGTTTTTCCATAAACTCTACACTTTAAGCTGTACTGCTTCCTCTTCCCTGGCTAGATCACCAGACAAACCCTCTTTCCTCACCGAAAACCTCAAATATTTTAGCTCATGACTTTACTTCCTTCACGCACCTTGCAATGCCCTTGCCTTATGACATACCTCTAATGCATCCCATTTTTCAACACCTTATCCTGAAGAACAACTGTCCCTATAGTGTCCTTCTTGATACCCACCAGACCTAAACCAACCCATTGCCATGTGCTCGGTTCTGAGTCAAAACAATCCAAAGTCCAGAGTATAACTCTCCTACACTGTTTTCAAGTCTGTGAATCTTTAAAGACGTATACTGCCACGTCCTTCTTCTATGGAGCACTTGGCGAATCTGAGCCACCAACCTTTATTTGGTTAATGACATACAGAATATGAGAGATAAATATAAATTGAAATTTAAAAATATAAATTGTAATTAAAACCAAAACAAGAAACACGGACAGCGTTTTAACACTAATCTATTCTGTCATTGCAAATGATGTTCTTTTAATGTTTTTTAATAACTTTCTATGTGTACCCATGTTAATAGTATAAATGATATTTACATTCATAATCGGTTATGGTCTTCTCACAACAATTATCATCACGACTCTCCACCCTGATGCTAATTCTCCAAGCAGACGATTGAATTCTAAATTACTCTTTGGAAGCTGAAAGTTAATCTAGCAATATTCACAATTCCCACTCAATTCCAAACCCTTTTAGGTTTTACACATGATCTTGTTTTGCCTTCAAAAAAAAGATGGCATTTTTATATCTCTGATTAGCTTATCAAGGAGTTTTGAAATTAAATAATTCCTTGTGTTGGCAAAGAGCTGTACACTCATTGTTGGCACCACGGCTTCCTTGTGTGTCTTTCATATTTGTCTGCACTGAAGCATCAAGTTCTCTAGAAACAGCTCTTTGTGATGTGGTTGTGAGGGGCAGCCGTGTCTGTTCTGATTCATAGCACTCCTATGTGCAACAGAACAAAACCCTAACCGATCATGTGCCATCGTCAGATGATTTTCGATGTTGAGTCCACTCTTGCTGCCACTGTCTTGTAAGTCACTGATTCTCTGGTCTTCCTGATCATTGTCTAGCTTTCCCATGCATCGGAGTTTATTGGAAATGCATGGGCTTGGGTCAAGCATGCATAGTCTTCAGTAGCATCTTTGTTATTTAACATTTTAAAGTCACCTTTTACAGTAGATTTGTCCAACACGGTACATCATTTGATTTTTGTTTCCATGAGTGTTGATTGTAACTGCTAGTTCCCACTAAGCAGCTTCCCTTTTATAAAAATGGCAGAAAACTAGTAGATATTTCATCTTTTCAGTAAAGACTTAACTAAAGCTTTCTAGGTAACTCTACTATTAAAGGAAAACAGGTAGTCTATAGTGATCAGCAACTAAATTCCAACATGCATTTTAGCATCCTGAATACCATGATTGTGTTCTACAAAGCCCCAACTTCTAACCACACGACCAGCACTAAATATAGAATATAAGAAAGGAGAGGCACCTCGAGGTCCTCGAGTGGCCAGTGCCCACACCTCATCCTTGTGCTTGTCAACACAAACAGGAAAAATTATAAATCATATACCACCAAGTCAAGGAAGTCTGATGATTATCTTCTAAATTAATTCCATCGTTGGATTCATTCAAATAAATATAATCCTTTACTTTCTAAACTTTAGTCTGGAGTCACTAACAAAGGCCGAGTTTAACATGAATGTATTGGGAAACAATAAAATGGGTCGAGGCATCTCAAAATCTGATCATGCTAGAAGATCATCCCCTAGATTGTTCTTATGAGTGTGGATAGAAAAACCTCAGAACACTATGATAATAGAAAGGTGTACAAAAATGGACGTGGGAGCTGTACAGTCCCAAAATAGCTATTAGTAGAGCTATCAATATGACAAACTTTAGAGAAGCCTGTTATTGCTGAAAATGTGTGGCACAGTAAATAATACATTCCTAAACAAACCAAACTCACTGCCATTGAGTCAGTTCTGACTCATAGTGACCCTGTATAGGGTTTCCAATACTACAAATCTTTACTGAAGCAGACAGACTCACCACCTCAGAGCAGCTGGTGAGTTTGAACTGTTAGCATTTTGGTTAGCAGCTTAGGCTACAACTCTTGAAAAAGTCTTTATTTAAGGAAATCAGAGTTTGTAAAGAGTAAATGGCTTTTCTGTCATTACAGAAGTTGGTGGCAAATCCCAAATACGCTTGATCTGTTGCAGTCCAGGTGTTTCCACTTCACCATATTTCTTTTGCTGTGAATGTCCAATGTCTCCAACTGGTCTGTGGCCGAGAACATCATAATCTATCACGGCAAGTGTCTTCAGCGTCGTCCAAAATTCTTCCCAAGATTTCTTTCAGTGAATCCAGATCTTCTGCTCTTCCTTTACTTTTTGCCTGAAGACCCACATTTCAGAGATCAGTGCAAATGTCATTGCAAGAATCTCTCCAACCTGAACTTAAAGTCAGTCCACGCATCCTATCTTCTATTTGATTGTGAGTTTGCTATACTGCAATCTCCTTGTTGAACGATAAAGTTTATTTTCTGCTGTTAGTTTGCTAGACTTCTCCCTCCCTGCAGCATATATTTCCACTGGAAGATCTGATCTCCATCAAAGACAGATTCCATATAGCTAACATACCTGAGGCTAGACCACAGAATGTTCAAATCATCAAGGAGCGAAAGGGCAGCAAAATGCAGAGCTCTTGGCTTTGAAATTATTATCACCTCACGTAAAAAGCTCCATATGTGTCATAGTTTCCAAGTGAGAGAGGCAACTAATTAGCAGCACACAAAATCAAATTAACTGGATACTGCTGTAGAGACTTGGGGCTGCTATTCTGATACATTTGCCTAAGGGAATTTACTTTTTTAATCTTGTCTCCATTTATTGTGCTGTTTTTCCTGAACCAGTAGGAATTTTTGTTATATG